AAAAAGAGCTGGTAAATCTAACGATAATGCACTGGAAGGAAAAATGATTATAGTTATCGTAATTTATAGTCATTTTGATGCCAACTATATATCCTTTGATAAAACTATAAATATAATTATTACTAACTTTAAGTAATTGTACTGTTAAATTTATAATATCAAATTATATTCAATTTGAGTTGTTTGTAATAATTTCTATAAGTCGCTATTTTACCTACTCAATATATCATTTGACTAAAACAATGAAATTAAATAATTTAACTCGAGAAAATGTATTAAATTTGAATCACATTTAATTCATTATTTGACTGAAATTTAGTTTATTATTTACTAAGTGCATTTAATATACCCTGAGAAATTTCATGCATTTTTTGAGCAGTTACTAAACAGTTATACCAACTTCTGTCTAATAAGTGAAAAGGAAAACTACTTAGAATCCCAATCAGGATGTAACGCTTTGCTTGCAGTTACTGCATACGAAAGTTGCGTAAAATCTGAATCTAGTTAGAGTTGGAAAAAACTCGGGCTTTTTTAAAAAAAACTCAATCCACTGGATTTTATGGAGATTTTATTGAGTTTTATTGGAGTTTTTTTTTTGGATTTTTTTTAGAGGTTTTTTTTAAATAAAATTGATTATTTAATTTTTTTTTCATGTAATATTAGTTTACATTGTATTTATTATTATTTAATTACATATTCAAAAAAAATTAATTATAAATAAATTGTAAAAATATTATAGTGATAAATTTTTTAAATGTAAAAAAAACACTTCTATATAATGAAAACTCAATAAATAGAAAATAAGAAATGTCAACATTTTAATACTAATCTAGAAAATAAAAATATTACAAAAATCGTGCAAACATTTAAAATAAATGATTGTCAAGGTTGTGAATATAAGATACTGTACACATTTTTTTAAAAATTTGAAAAATTTTGCCAGTTAAAGATTGTTTAAAAAAAATCTATAAACAGAATTTTTTTTAATATTATAAATAATGAAACAAAAATTTCTAATCAATGCAGTGTCTACGTAAATTGCACAAATTTTTGAAGCAGGAAAACTGTTTTAATCACTGAATAAAATTCTATCAAGTTCTTGCCCATTTCTTACTCAGCATTGGCACAATTAATGAGAATACAGTAATATTAGACAATAACTGGATGTCTAGGAAAACTGCATACATTTCTATTCAGGATAGTGCAGTTAATATAGACGATGTTTACTTTGAAACTGACAGAAATGGACTGATTTACATTTTCATACACATGGAAATTAAAAATAATGTTATTTAATTTACATCTTTTAACTCAAGGAATTGAATTGTCATTGTTCCTTTGATATATCTAACAGAGTAAAAATATAATTATTATTACTAACATTATAGCTTGCATTACAGTAATAACAGTACAGTAATAACTATAAAAATAGAATTTCTAATCATAATTATTTTTACTAGGCAATTATAATCACAAATACCAAACACTTTTCTCTCAACGCAAATTTGCAGAAAGAAATAGAATCGTTAAGGTTATGCGAAAGGATCTTAAAAAAGAGAAATACATACATACGGCACTCCAGGCGTTCTCTTCTTCGGTAAGAAGCAAATATTGGCGGTGAAATGGAATTATGTTTGAAAAGGCAATTAAATGAAATTGCACAGTGAATTGAATGGCTCCGAGAGGGAATGCGATCGCAATTAATAGCGAGGATACTCTGTTAGCGTGCTCGGGAATCCAGACACGCTCGACACGTTGCGCATCGTCGTGTCGTCAATTTACAGTCGCATATCGCCGTATCTCGAACAATGGTATGAAAACCGCGTCGCATTCCAGAGCGCGCTGGGACGGTGCATCGCAAATGGTTAACACTCTTCGCCATTCAAAAACCTCTTTCCATCCCAATCATATTTTCTTGAGAAGAAATTCTTGCGGGATGTATTGTCGAAAGAAAGCGCGACTCATCAAGCGCATTTAATATATCATTTATAACGATATATACGTGATGATATCGTTTTAAAGAATACGAATGTGAATTAAAAATATTACGTATTGTAATAATGTATTTAATAAAAATGAAGATGAATAAATACATTTATAATGTGTTGTCCGGAAAAAAATCCGTGCGGTTTTTCAAGATAAATTCAAAAATAAAATTTTATTTTAATTAAAAATAATTTTAATCTACAATGCAGGTATGCATCATTTTGCACCACAATATTTTTCTATAAATAATTTCACAATTTCTCTTTCGTAAGAGTCCTTTTAAACGTCGTCTACTGATAAAATCGCAAGATCATCCAATATAAAATCGGAATACAGTTAAAGCAACATACCATATACAAATATATATCCTATGCTCATGTTCCACGTGACGACGAACAGTATATTGCGAATAATAATCTCCAATTATTTGTGGCTTATGTCAAAGAAAATTTACTGCACTATATTGCTTCAAAAGATCGTTCTTTACATTCAGTAGAGTTAAAAAACCTCAATTTTGACACGCCGAAGAATTCTCTCATTCCTCGAACGTTTGTCTAGGTTCGAGCAATCCGCAGAATTAATCGAATCGACTTTCAGCGAGACGAGGCACGATATTGGGAGAATTAAAAGAAAAGAGCACCTCGTCGGTCAAAGTCCGTTTGCGCGGGAGAGGATAATTGGAAGGGGCGCGAGAACAATTTGCATCGAGCAGAGAATCTATCTAATTCCATCGGTTTTCTAATCTCCGTACGTTTCCGCGGTTACTCATAATTTATATCCCCGCTGTGATGCAGGCGAGTCACATTAAAAGCCTCGATCGTATATGAATACGTGGAAATTACGCACATTCCGCGCGGCGCTTATTAAATTACCGTCGGCTGTTATCGTCAACGATATAGTTGCGTCCTCGGTTGCGTCGTTATCTTTATCTCTCTACTCCTCCCCTCGTTCTCCGTCTCTTTCTCTTCTTTAATGCACCTGTCCGCTGCATCGCCATTCATGCGTACGCACATGTGTGCCAGCGACGATGAAAGAAGCTCACACACGATATCCGTGTGGCAAGGAATTTGTTCGGATTCTTAGACTTTGAGAAAATATTTATCAAAAATATGACGATTCATATATGATCCCGTTGATGTGTTCGCTTTAAAATACTAATGAGAATTATCAGTGTGATATATTGATATATGTAGAATATAAAATGAGCTAACATATCGTATTTTGCATTCAATATTTTAACTTGAATTTTTTCTATAAATATCATGTCTTTTTTATTTCAATCATGAAATTAAGATTTTATATTGTATGCAAAATAGTATTTTGATAGTAAACTGTGTATGTACGCGCATGAAGGGGGAGGGAGAGTAATTATTATTTTTAAAATAATAACAATGATAAGATAATGATATAATAATGATATAATTATAATGATAGGATGATTAATACTATATTAATTTGTTATATAATGTCAAATTTATATCAAAATTAGGTTTTGATAAAATGAATTAGTATTTACATATAAAGTATGTATTAATTACTCATTATTGAGTCTTGTGTCGATGACATCTTTTGTTCACCACATTATAAGCTATATTATACGTGAAAACGGATTTCACTGGAATGCAACCCAATCTATGATATAATTAGTAGAACCTTCACTTTCTAATTATATGGAAAATTGAGTCCCGGAAATGAGTTAGTTTTCACATATAACATGGAACAAATGATGTCATATAGCAATTTCAATTGAATGCACTCAGTGTGCACTGATGCATATTAAAGTTATACACAGATTTGTGTAAAAATGTGTGTTTATTATAAATATAGAAACGCATTAAACCGCGATCTTCATTACATTTTATTATGCTGTAGATAAAAAATGTATTTTATAATTCAAAATATTTGCATTTCACTTTTACACTCAGATTAAATCAGTGTATCAACGGCTTTAATATTCACCAGTACGCACTAATGCATCCTACCGAATTCGTTAATACACAAGGTTCAATAATAAATAGTTTTTGAACTATATGACGTATCAAAAGTGTAAAATTTGCTCACAGAGCATCTTACATTATAAGTTAAAAACTATATTATTGAGTTTTGTGTCAATAACATCTTTTATTTATCACATTATAAGTCGCATTATATGCGAGAATGAACTTCTTTTATCGGGATCTAATTTTCCATCATATAAATAAAGGTCTTTTGATTTGAGTGCTTGAAATGTCGATAAGTGATAATACAATAAATTGAGAAAAACTCTCTTTGAATCCAGATTAAGCTAACAAAGACGAACAAATGAACATGAACGAGTATTACTAAAGCTCTATATTTATAAGAATAGCGTAAAAGACTGCTGTTTGTGTAATAATCATATCATATTAAAAAGTTGCTAAGCGCTTGAATGATAGACCAATTAGATAAAAAATGGCGGTTGAAATAGCCAATAGAAAAATGCAATAGGAAAGCAACCAATAGGAGGATTGTCGATATTCACTCAGATAAAAACAATTTATAGCGTTACTCTTAGATCGACTCTACACATGTTCAAGTAAAGTATAAATGTCAAGTATAAATGCGCATATATACGAATTTATATCGTGTATGAGACAAAGCTGCATAGTTATTCCAATAAATTTGTATTGCATTGTATATGCGGCGTGCGCATGCCATACTTGACAAATTTATTTGAACGTGTGTGGTCGGCCTAAGAGAATACGTTTATTACAGTACATTACTTTACAAGTATCATTATTTAATATTTAATAGACATCAAGGATGAATTGATGCTTGACAGCGTGAAAACAGAACGTATTCTTATAAATATAAAGCTCTAAGCGTAACAAATTATTCCTTTGTTTTTCTTATACCAAAAGAAGATGGAACAGTAGTTTGTTTGTGTTTTTTGCTTGATTCGGATCCGCCTTTCCGCCATACTTGACTTCACCAGATTCTAAAATTTAAATTTTTGTAATATATAAACACAAGTCAAATTCGCCATTGTTTTTCAGGATGCGCGTGTACAGGAGCGAGACGGTGCGCGCGAGTAACTCGCCGATGAACGCGCGAAGAAATGAAATGTGCGAAGAGGAGAGCCATTAGGAATCCGCCATTCTCGGCGAATGTCATTCACCCTGCGTGTACATCGTAAGAAGAAAAAGAAGAGGAAGGAGCATCATCGTCACGAGGAAGAAGATCGAACGAAGTGAGTGAATTTGCCCGCACCCGAGATTTCAGCACTTATAGTTCGTCATCGCTCGAATCTTCTCATTTCGTCGGAAATCAGCTATCCGTAAACGTGTTTCATCGGCTGATCCCTCACCCCGTCCAATTCGCCGGCGTCAGAAGAGTGAAAGGCAGTACTTCGCTCCACGCGGCGCATCTCTTGACTCTTGAGACGCAGCAGATTGAATCCCAGCAGATTCGCGCGTTATTTTCGCGAGGTCACGCTGAGGCACGCTCCGGAGACTTTCTTCGTCCATTAACGCCTCGATACAGTGCGCTTTGTATACACGTATTCTTCAAAAGCGTCTTGATATAGTCTTGTCGCCTAATGTCTACGCGAATTTAATGTACGCGAATTTAAATGCAAGTTTAGGTCACGTCGTTATACTCTCACTTTTTGGTCAAGTAATCCCTCGACCGACCGTTCTTTCTTATTCGCTATAATACAATTCTAATGATAGAGATGAGAAATTCTATCTGAATGACCGTAGTGAAAGAGCACGCTTGTCGATGCTCGCAAGACGCCTTCGCCGTCTTTGTCGAGGAAAGGATTGATGGAATGTTCGATTGAGGAAGAGTCGATGAATGTCCGTGAGGATCGACGATTGCTAGCCGATCGTTAAACGCCGCGGCTCAACAGCGAAGAACTATGCGGTCTATGCGGACGAGCTTGAATGTCGAGAGATCAAATTCCATCAAATTCAGAGATTCTGTAGATCCACTGAGTGATCTATGAACGGCGATAAAGCTTCTTCTGTAACATGCGCACATTATTTGACTTTGCCTATTAAGATAGAAGAGGTCCCAGACTGATAAAATTATCCAGCAATTAGTAAAACCGGAATCTTTACCGTTTACTTGGCGATGCGTTCTAGTTTTCCTCGATCGAGGCTCAACAATTTCTCTGTGCACCGGGATTACTTATCCTAATTAGCCTAATTCCAAGCGAGAACAATTTCGGAATCACTCGCTTCTCGCACTCGCGCAAATTAATCTAAAAGCAAGTGCTGTTTTTCCTTCAAGGAGTTACTGATCGTAAGAACGCGTCTTCATTCGAGGCTCACTTCTCTTCCGGGAGTCGAATCGATTTCAAATAAGTCCAGCCCATCGATTGATCGAACAGAGAATCATCTGACGTAGCATTGAGATTCGTAAGTCACGGTGCTTCCGTATTGAGGTACATCGAGAAGATACGCGGATCTCCGTTTGATCCTCTCTAAAAGGGGACCGATTATAGACTCCAGTAGTGTCCGCGGGGACGCAGATGGGAGCTTGTCTGATAGAAGTCCCATCAACTCCGTACGACAACAATCTAACGTGTTCCCAGCGATCGACTTCACGGCTGCCGTCGCGTTCTCCACCGACGTCGCTCACCGACGTCACCATCGACCATAAGGCCTCTTCTTCTCCCACCCGATTCGGCCACAAAAATTTGATCAAGCTGGAATTGATGGAGTTGGAGAACATCGTTGCGAACACCGTGTACCTGAAAGCGAGAGAAGGTGAGTCTCGTTTATGCTTGTGTTTATTGCTGTTTGATTTTAAATTTTATGTTTATACAGGGTTGGCCATATTCGACGGAAAGATATTTTTTTTTTTCAATCATGGGAAACGTCGTTACTCGATCTAACATCTCTTTCCCATGATTGAAAAAAAAAAACATCTTTCCGTCGAATATGGCCAACCCATGTATTAGGTCATTTAAAAAGTATCCGCGGTTTTTTGTTCAATTTTTGAATGAAAAAACCGCGGATACTTTTTAAATGACCTAATATTTTATGTTTTATATCAATATATTTATTCGCGGAAATTATCGATCATGTACACATACACTCTCATGTACAGCATGAGGAGCGATTAAAGACTAGCAGAATAATTAAACGAGTAATTATAAATTAAATTCATTATAACATAAAAATCTGTTTTTTTTTTATCGAAATATATTGGTTAGAATAATATATTAATGAATGATGTTTTATGATGTCGTAATATTCTACGTTTCATTGTTTCCATTATTTTAAGAGCGACAAGGTAATTAGGAAACTGAGAAAATTCACGCGGTAATGAACAAAAATTGTTCCATGACGGATAATAATTGCGCTTTGGTATAACATGTGTCAAGAACAGTTATTGAGTTCGGTCGATTAGCGCGCGCGCTGAATGTACAATTCTGGTATTGTGTATCTACATATAATGGCCTTCCCGGAACACCCTATGGCCTATACACAGCTTTCATTACCGAGAGTTCGGCTGGGCGACATTTATTACGCGCGTAAAGTCGCTCCGTAGTTTAGCTGCGAGATTGAACGTTCGGATTTAACGCGCAATATGCAATCGTTACTTTCGCGTTTAACGCGTTTCGAATTGCCGTCATGGAGAAAATTAAGATCATTAGGCGTATTTTTTTGCAACACGTGCGATTCGTGGGATAAATATTTCCGCAATCCCGTGATTACGTTCTCGATGGGATTCAGACTGTCATTTACGGATGAAAAATTAAAAAATTTTCCTCCTTAGAATTTTTCTTATTTACGAGAATTACGTCAATTAAACAGCTTTAGATTGCGGAAGATAATAAAACAACGCATGAGATTTGCGCATTTAATACTTTTATACGTTGCACGCAATTTAAATTATTTTTATCGATAAGAAAATTTGTTATTTATAACTAACTATGAAAGACGGCAATTGTGCAGTTGTAATATACGTACATTTAGACACGCGCTGGATCGACAAATACTTATCCAGCGTTTTACGATGGCTTGTTGTAGGTGTCCGTGTTTTAATGCGCGCGTAAAACGATGCTTGCGCCGACAGCTTAAGCGCCGTAACGCGAGCGATAGATCGAAGCAAAAAATCTTCGCTGCGAGAGGATCATCTTTTTCTCTCTGCTCGGCCCGACGCGTGTTTTAGCACACCTATCATCGTCATAGGCGCCGGTAGAATGCGAAATAAAATAAACAATTGTTCTTATTTCTCTTTTATCTTCGTCAAGATTTTGATTTATGACGCTGTGTTAGTTTAGAACAAATTTATTTTCGTAAAACGCTATGCTATAAATGACTCTAAATTCTTTAGCCTCTCTCTTTAATATGTAGAAACAAATTGTAAAAGAGTAACAAAAATAGCAGGTTCGACAAATATGATGACGATGGATTAACAAATGTACGAAAGCTATTTTATTGTTGTAATTTTTTAAATATAATTTTCTGAATACAAAAGAGGCCAAAAATAGTAAATTGTATTCATTTTTAGAGAATATAAAGAGGCACGTTGTCATATTTAGAACATCCGTAGCGTCCCGACGCGACGCCCATGTCTTATACGAGGATAGGCACCTTTGTGGTAGACCAAAAAAAATTACAGTGTATATTAAGCACGCACAAGCTCGGTATCATCGCCGTAGATTCATTATTTAATTTATGTACAGGACGAGAGAAAGCGAGAGAAAAAGAGAGAGAGAGCAAGATATTTTGTTATCTATTTTGCTCTTTTATTACCTCTAGGCGGAAAGATCAATCGCAATCAAAGAAAAAAATATTTAAAAATTATAATAATAAATTGAAAATAAGTGAATCTCTCTCTCTCTCTCTCTCTCTCTCTCTCTCTCTCTCTCTGTCGAAAAGCGTCTTGATTTAGCGCTAATCAGCTTTCTGACTTTAATTATTTAATATTTAAACATCTATAACCTAGTTCCTTTGTATGGCAGTCTCGTGTAAAACTCTTTCATATAAACGGTTAGTTCCTCTCGCAATTAGCGGTGTTTTTTTTTTTTTGCGAGAAATTCAACCAACGAAAATAACATCTTCCGCACACCTCAGACACGTATGCCAAAAAATAGGGACTTGTGAAATTTTTGCAGGGACAAATGCTTGATTCGTTTTCATTTTTCCGTCCTGCTCGTCGTATATTTTTAGCCTCGTTACAGGGTACAGTGAACTTTTGCTGACAGGAAAACGTGACGCTTTACTTCTCGTTATGCTTTGTAACGCGTCCCCCACGAGATATGTCATATAGGAATATGACAGGTATTTCAGAATTTTTCACGTTTTTTTCCCCCATGGGAATTTATAGTTTAATCAATTTTTACAAACAAAACTTTAATATGAAGTTCTTGATTAGAAATTTCTATTTGTGTCGCAAGAAAAGAAAATATTTTGAAAATTATTCAATTTTGAGATTTAATATCTCTAATGATTGACAAATTCTTTTTATGAGTACATCTTTCTGAATTTAAGAGAACTTGCAACAACAAATATCAAGCTATCTTTTTCGAGATTAAAGATAAAATGCCGACTACTCAAACTTAAAAAACAAAATTTAGGAAGCTTTACTATGAATTAAATTTCAAAGATACGAATGAATACACTAATTTTTTGATTTGTAAGTAAACACTAATTCGAGTGATTGAATGCCTGAAATCTCCTTTTCCCGGGAGAACCGTCAAATAAAATTTGCATACAGATCACGAGGTTACATTAGCTCGAGACGCTCGAGACTAAGCTTTGTCAATCACTGTAGTTAGAATTGATCGGTTGCAAGTAGTAAATCCAATGGGGAGGGTCACCCACCATTGGCCGGCATCCAATTAGTGCATTACGAACGACGTCCTGTCGAAGAGTGCAGGCGTGTTGATGGTCGGAAAGTAGGTAAATGGATTCGCGTGATAGCGAACCACGTCAATGGCCTTGTATAATCGTATTGCCTTGATAAACTTTATAAATGAAAGCCTTGCGGGATAGATCCAACCGCCGCGAATTACGTAAGTATACAGGATACCCAACCGTTGAGTTATAAGGATAACGGGTTAATTAGCGGTCTTCTGTGCTCGTAACGCAGCGACGACGTAATTAGCGGCCGTTCGATCGGGAAATGTCTATAATCAATTTGTTGCGCCGACGAAAAACTTTTCCATTTACGAAATCCCAATTTATCACGACCAGTTATTTTCTGTCACCATAACGTTTGCGTGAGGACAAGAGCAGGCAATAGGTACGTCGATAATTCTAGATTATCTCTAAATTAGATTATCTCTGAATATGGCTAATTTTCACGTACACAATTAGTATTAAGCTCTCCTTTGAACAATTCCAAACATTAACATCTAATTTGATAGAAATGTTAACGCATTTTTTTTTTAAATATCGAATTTGAATTATATTTTTTCGATGAATGCTGATACGTCTTTTTTAATAAACAATAGATTTTCTGATAACAACAAAAATTTTAACATTTTGCAGAAGCGAAAAGATTTTAAATTTTACTTAAGAAATTGAATAGCCTTAGTATTTATACAATAATTTCTTCGTGCAATTGTTTTAGAAATTTCCAATGGTGTTTTTAAAAGTTCTTCCAATCTCTCGATTTTTCAAACATTTAAGAAATATTTTAGGAAAACGTTTGAATTTATGCAAAGATACGGTTAATAGTATGATAGATGTGTTTTTATAAAATTCATAAAAATGTATTTATGCAATGACGTCAAATGAAATAACGATGCAATAATACCGAGATGATGTATTTTACGCGGCTTTCCTCGTAAGCCAAAGATGCGTTTCGCGGGACCGACATACGTGTAATCGAAAGTCACGTTTCGTCGTGTTGCGGGAACTTCAATTATCATAATGATAGCAATAAGTATTTGTGCGCAATGCAATTATTGTGAATAAAGCTACAGAGTTATGCTTGTCGCACACGCTGATATAATTACGTGATGACGATGGGGCGTGAGAAAATTTCATGATCGCGAGAACGCGGTCGAGAAGCGAATTGTCGCGAATAAATTTCCACGCTCGGGATAACAATAATTATTTTAAGTGCTACGTTTAACGATATAAATCGCGTGCGTGTTATGTGTTTGTATGGAAGTTAATACACGAAGAGAGAGAGAGAGAGAGAGAGAGAGAGAGAGAGAGAGAGAGAGAGAGAGAGCAATTTTGTTGAAGAATCTAAAAATTCAGCTATAATAGATACAAATCTGAAAATAATGCTGGACCATCAAAATAATTTTGTAGGAATCTTAAGTATAGTAAACAATGTTGTAAAAGATTTTGATATTCTAGAAACCAATTTTGTCGTCCTACCTAATTATTTTGATGTCCAACAAAATAATTTTCAGATTTGCATGTAGCTAAATTTGTAGAGTTTTCAGTAAAATTATTTTTTCCGTGTGCAATTTAAAAGGAGCACCAGTGTGGATCTTTATTTTCCACTATTAAATTAAATACGTACAAACAACACACCGCGCTTTGTTCATATCCGTCAGTTAACGTAAAAAATGCGAGAAAATTATTATTCATACCAGAGTTGAAATTCGCGGAATAAATCAATTTACGAGATTCGATTTAAATACGTCTTCACTCTTGCGAATTATTTTATTTCGACTTTCGATTCCGGGCTCTGAATTCTTCTACTCTTCATTTTCGCTCGTATGATTTCGTCGAATACCCTTTTTTCGTTCTTTTCTTTTTTTTTCCATCACTTTCCAGGATTGGACGAGATG